TTTTTTTTTTTTAGATTTGTGTGTTTGAGAGAGAGAGAGAGAGCGCGCAAGCAAGCATGAGCAGGGGGGAGGGCAGAGGGAGAAGCAGGCTTCCCCCCGAGCAGGGAGCCCAATGCAGGGCTCGATCCCAGGACCCCTTGATCATGATCTGAGCCGAAGGGAGATGCTTAACCAATTGAGCCACCCAGGCGCCCAAAAACATCTTTTATCCAACACTGTGGCAAGTGACACAAAACACCTAGGGGCCCTGGGCTGCATGCAGTTTGCAGCCCCTGGACTAACTGTGCAACCGGGCCTTGCTCTTTCTGAGGCTGTGTCCTGGTCCCTGACCTGGGCATGGTAACCCCTCTGTGGGAGTTAGCACGGCAGGACAAGACAGCTCGGGGAGCTGAGACACAGAGCCGGGGGGGGGAAAAGGCAGGCAGGAGGCCTGGAGGGTCCCCGGGCTCAGGCGAGGATGGGGTTCCAAGGCTTAGGGCCAAAGTGGGGAGTTGGGCAGGGACGGGAGGGCACGGCCAGGGCAGGTGGAGCCCAGAGCACAGATGGCAAGGGGCTGCCTGCACATGCACCGGGTGTCATTGCATGGACATTCGGGGCACGTACCTCCCAGCAAGTGAGAGCAGCATTACCAAAGGCTCAATGTCATTGTCCCCACTTAGAATCACCGCCACTTAGGAGCACTTACTGTGTACCAAGCGCGTTAAGAGCTTGGTCCCATGTAGTCCCTCCAACAACCCTGTGAAACACGCATTACTACTATCTACCCCAGAGATGAATACACTGAGAGGCTGGGTTGCTCGCCTCTAACAGGAACATTCGTGGAGCACATCCTCTGTGCTAAGCACCTCACGCACCTTATTCCACACGGTCCTCATTGTAGCTCCTCCTCAGAGATGCCCCCACCCAGAGCCTCACCTCCTAAGGTTCATGCTTCATGCGGCCCCTTCACCTTGAATGTGGCCCATCACTTGCTCTCGACCAACAGAATGCATCAGAAGTGACAGCGTGACTCCTGAGGCAAGGTCATAAAATAAATTTGTAGCTTCTGCTCGGATCTCTTGGAATGCTTGCTGCCAGCAAGAAGCCGCTCCTGCTGACAGCCTAGCTGAGCCCCCAGCCCCCAGAGGGTACCCACAGCCAGTGCTGGGAGGGGCCAGCTAGGACACCCTGCCCGGCCACGCCCCAGATGATGCCACCCTGGCCAACATCCCACTGAAGCGTCAGGGAAGACCCTGAGCAAGGACAACCTAGCTAAGCCCGGTCAACCCACTACACCATAAGAGAAAATAACACATTTTTGTTTTAGGGTGATGTGTTCTAAATGAAGAGAACACTGACACACTACTTGCAAGAGCCCCATAAGTAGAAACTCAGGCCATCCCCATTTTACAGATGAGGATACTGAGGCACAGGGAGGCTGAGTGACCTGGTGCGAGTCCATGGCTGGCGAGGGTCAGGGTGGGGGTCTGCTCCCAAGCTGTCTGATTCCTCTGGTGTCAACCACACCTCCACGCTGCCGGCCCACAGTGGCCCAGCCATGCACGTCAGGGTAAGGTTTGAGCCAGGCTGTCTGATTCCCAACCAAGGAACCTTCTCCTTCCTGTGCAGGTGTCCCTCCCAGAAGCTGGTGCCCAACTTCAGCTGGGCATCTCTGATCCCCCAACCTCCCAAGCCCCCGAGGCCTGTTTTGCTCTGCTGGGCGGGGAGACAGAGGCCGACAATGTCTGGCCGCAAAGCTGGTCTCCTCTCTGGTGCCTGGGGTGGGGACAGGGGTGGTGTCGGGGCCAGAATTTTGACAAATGGCCTCACACATATTAAACAAGAGAAATGACACTGCACAGCCCTGGCAAGGCCCCAAAAGCAAGGGATGAAAAATGGGGCTGATCCATCTTGTAGGCTTCGGTGACAAGAAGAAATGGATCAGCCCTAATAGGGGCCGCACGTTGGGCTCCGGCCTTAAATAAGTCAAATGAAAATGAGGCCAGCCCCAAGGGAGGAGGAGAGCAGGGCAGGCGGCCCCCGGCTTTCAGGGAAAGAAAGGTTCCTGTGGCCGACACCAGCAGGCTGGGTTTTAGATGCTGAGTGCCAGGGTGGAGAACTAGGGGCTTCTAGAGAGGCCTATGGAAGGAGGAGGCTCAGAATCCTATTACCACTTAAGGCTATGGGACCCTGGGTGGGTGACCCAACCTTTCTGAGCCCTGGTTTTCACACATGCAACATGCCGGTTTTGCATATATTAAGTTCATATTAATAATGGTAATATTAGAAGGGCTAGAGCCTGGGGCGTCTGGGTGGCTCAGTCAGTTAAGCGCCAGACTCTTGATTTTGGTTCAGGTCATGATCTGAGGATCAAGAGATCAAGCCCCACATTGGGCTCCGCCCTCGTACTTAGTGTGAGTCTACTTGAGATCCTCTCTCTACCTCTCCCTCTGCCCTTCCCCCTGCTTGTGTGCTCTCTAAATAAATAAATCTTTTAATAAAAAGGGCTGAAGTTTAAGAGCCCTTATGTGTCAAACAGGGTGCTAAGCACATCTACAAACTGTCTTTGTATTACCCCATTCTCAGAGAGACACAGTACAGAGGTTGAGGGTGCGGGCTCCAAGGCCAGACCGCCTGGGTTCAGATCCCCGCTCTGCCGCTCAGCAGTCAGATAGCCTGGATAAGTGACTTGAGTTCCCTGTGCCTCAGTTTCCTCTCCAGGAAGTACCCACCCCATAGCATTGTTACGATGACAATATACCAGTGCTCAATACACAGCAGAGATTATTACACACGTGCTCAACACTCCAAGATGTTCATTCCTTTCCTTTTCCCCTTCTCTAGCTCAGAGGACCAACTGCCAAGGTCAAGAGCTCAGGCAAGAACTGCTAGAAGGAGGGAAGCATTGAATAAAATGGAACCAGAACCTTAGCTGGTTTCCCTGCGGTCTTTCCACTTCAAACGATCAGGGGTGGTATTGGAGGGTCCAGGTCGCTTTAAGGCAGATGACTTTACAGGGGTGGGGCCAAGGAGAGAGTAGGAAGGGGCTTAAATCAGCAGGAGTCCCCACTGGTCTGAAAGGGGGCTCTTTCTGAGTTGGAGCCCTTTCTGCTCCACTCTGACCATCTTCCTCCAAAGTCTCTGTACCTGCTGTCCCCCTGCCCAGCACACTATCTTATTCCCTCCTCCACCAGTCTGCCTGACCACATTTTCCCCAGAGGACCCTCCCTGCCCGAAGCTGGGTCTATGACCCCCCCCATCCACATGATAGCTTGTTTACTTGTCTCAATTGCCTGTTACAACAGTGTCTTGGCCACTGCTGTGCCCCCAGCACCTAGGAGAGTGGCTGTCCCCAAGTAAGCATTCGGTAAATGCCTGTAAAATGACTAAGTGGATAAATGGTCCCCAGCCACCAGAAGCAGACCTGCAGACCCTGGACATCTGTGGTCACTGTCTTTCCAGCATGCACTCCTTCTTCTGATGACCCCCCCCACTCCCAATTTTCCACTGGGGGCCTCTCCTCCTCCTCTCTTTGTCCAAGGGTTTGGGTGGGGCCAATCCCTCCTCCTTGACCTTGTAATCAAGTCAGACCAATTAGAGCAGTCCAGTCTCCTCAGGGTCTAAATCACTGGTCATGGGATGGACACATGCCTTAAGCTAATCCAATGAAAGCCTTAACCAGGATTGGCTGGAAATATTGGGAAGAGGCCCCATCTCTCTGCTGGTGTTGCTACATTTGTAAAATGTGAGCCTAGACCTGGGCTTGGTGACCCTCTTTGCTTAGGGAAAAGTTGCTTGTGAATGAAGCCAACCAACACAAAGGGAACAGAGACAGGAAAGTGGGGAGGGGAGACTGCCTCAGCTACTGATGAATCACCTGATCACCTGGATCCAGCGGTGCCTGAAGCAGACGTTCTGGTAGCTCACCCAGCATCCATTCCACCCACTTGCCATTTGTGAGCTTTTGGCTCACTCCTGACTCCAGAGATGAGTGTGGGCAAGCTGAGCCAATAAGCTCATGACATTCCCTCAGCTGTGGTGATGATTCAGGAGAGAGAAAATGACCTAAGTTGGGCTCATCAGAAGGAGGCTTGGGACTTTAGTCAATGTTGGGAAAAGAGAAGCCCTTTCTTCCCCTGTATGTGAAGGAAGAAGCAGCAGCCTCAGGAGCAGCTTTCTTACCACCAGGAGGGAAGCCCTCCCAGGGACAGGGTTAACATGTGCAGATGATCCTTGCGGAAGAGCAATCAGTCCTAATGACGTCAGAGACTCTGGATCAAACGGACCCTGAAGTCCACAACACAACTGCCCCTTCCACTTACAGGAACCAGCGTGTTTCCGTATTGCTGGGAGTGACGGGGATGGACTTTTCTGTTACAACACAAGGCACCCTAGCTGATCCTCCTGGACTTTTCTGTTACTTGAGCTAATACACATTCTGTGTTTCCTTACATGTGGGAGTCTATTGCCGATCCTGCCTTTCTTTGCACATCTAGCCTAGCAGACCTCCCAGGGCCCCGACGGCCTGCCAGCTTCTTTCTCCCCCTTCCAGAGTGGCCTGTGTGGCAGGGTCGGCAAACTTTCTCTCTAAAGGGCCGGGTAGTAAATATTTTAGGCTTTGTGGGCCACTGAGTGTCGGTCACAACCACAACTCTGCTGTTGTAGCAGGAAAGTAGCCATAGACAACAGTAAACCTAAGTGTGGCTCTGTCCCAATAAAACTTGATTTACGGACACTGAAATTTGAATTCCGCATAATTTTCACACATCGCAAAATGTTCTTCTTCTTTTGGTTTATTTTCCAGCATTTCAACGTGTAAAAACCATCCTTAGGATGAGGGCTGCGTAAAAACAGGTGGTGGGCCACATTTGGCCCACGGGCCATAGTTGGCCAACCCCAGCATTAGGGTCTCAAAGTGCCTTTGGACGCCGGGCTAGCTACCTTTGCCTTCTTCTGCCCTTCTCCCCCGAGCTGGGCCAAGCTGCTAAAGTCCCAGCATGCTGGAGGTCAAAGCCACTTACCAGAAGGACCACCCGTAGTCCCAGGAGTGGGGTCTCCAGTCTTCAGGGCCGAGGCTCACAGTGACCTGGAATACTTGCGTGTACATCATGTGGGCTACCATTCCCAGGAGGCCTGTGGGGGGAGCAGAACAAGGGGTCAGGAAGCCAGGTGGGGCTCTGTCCCCCTTTGTCCCGTGGGCCTGTTACTGTTGGGGGACAGCGTGGAAGGAGAAGGGCCATCGGCAGGACCAGAGCAGGGAAGCCAGAGGAGGGCACTTTTCTCAGCCAGCCAAGGAGCTTGAGTTTGAGCGAGAGGGCCAAAGGCAGGCCTGGAGAAATTAAACAAGGGAGACACAGAGTCAGATCTGGGCACAGATGGACATGCTTTTTCTGTTAAGTACCAGATACGTAGATACTTTATGGTCTGTGGTCCATGCGGCGTCTGTTGCAACTACTTCTCCACTGCTGGAGAGCCATAGACAATACATAAATGGATGAGTATGGCTGTGTACCAATAAAACTTTATTTACAAAAACAAGCACTGGGCCAGAGTTAGCCCATGGGCTATCGTTTGCTGATGCCTATATTAGAAGGTCATTTGGGAGAAGCAGCCTAGAGGGTATTTTTCAAACTGTAGATCTGGATTCACTAGACTAGTGGGTCATGAAATCAACTTCACTGATTGCCAGCAGTAAAAAAAAAAAAAAAAAAAAAAAAAAAGCAATAAGAATGGAATGGAATAGAATAGGCATATCTGATACCATCAAGTATAACAAGAGTGAATATTGTTTTATGAAACTTTTCAGTTCTATGCATATGTCTGTGTGTGTGGTGACTGAAACATGAAATGATTTTCTATGGCTCATGGTCAAAACTCTTTGAGCCCACTGGCCGGGAAGACTGGGAATCCTCTTTCTCCACATTTTCGCCATGTGGCGCGGGGCAAAGCTTCACTCTCCGAGCTTCATTCAAATCTCTGAACCCTAAGATGAGGACTGTGACTGGTAAGGTGAAGGGTAGGTAAAGGAGGAGAGGCAGCTTCGGTGTTGGTGCCTAGGGGGCATGTAGCAGGATTATTCCAACCCTGGGGGCCTTTCTCCGTGTGGACCATGGCATCTGGAGCCCTCATGAACCTAACCCTAAGATAGAGTGATACGATATTGAGGAGGGAAGGGGTAGATAACAAGAAAGGAAAGCAATCATGCTTGTGCACCTGCTGTGGGCTGAGCACCCTGTGTTATTACCTCTTACTTTTCATAACCACCCTCTAAAGTATCATGAGGTACCACAATCAGGACTATGTACCATTGTTCAGGCTGCCCACTGCACATCTCCATAGGGTCCATTCACAATGCAGTCTATGTGCATGGTCCCTCCCTGGAGTTGAAGCAGAACCATGCCTGCAAGGCTGTATATGGCAGCCCTGCGTATGAGTGTTCCCATTTCACAGGTGAGAAAACAGGAGCCTAGAGTGGTAAAGCCTGTCCATGGTCACGAAGGGAGTCACTGGTGTCGTTGTGACTGGTGCCCAGATCCAAATGCCCTCAACTCCAGGGCTCTTCCCATGATGCCCAGCATGTGTCTGTCCTCCCCTTGTTGCCCGATCACCCTCTCCCTTCTTCTTGAAGAGGAGGCAAGAAGAAAGATGGAGATAAGGGTAGCATAAGGTGGAGGTTAAGCAGAGACAGAAACAGAGGGGGCGGGGCTCTGCATCCTGGAACCCAGTGTGGGGAGTGGAGGGAGGGGGCCATCCTGTGTTCCCGCAGTGTGAAGATAAATGTTTAACAACTGGTTCTCCAGAGGGAAAAGAAAAGCCCTGATCTGTAGCATTTGCCAAGTTCCATTGTGCAACGACTTGCACTATGGCCGATCTCAATCTACCAACGTGATGTCCCCGAAAGCAGAGCACAGCAGAGGCGCTCACAAGCTGGTGCCAACAGGCTCCAGCACACCTCTGGGTCTCACTCCAGTCCCTGGACCCCGGGCCCAACGGAGACCACGGATGCAGAGGTGGCTGTCTGCGTCTCTGAGCCTGGGTCAGCCCCCCATGGACACTTGTCACTATTCTCCGACCGCAGATGCGGGCTGGCAGGGAGCTCTCAAGTCAGGAAATCCAGGGAGAAATCCAGGCACCATGACAGGTGCCGAGGCCCCCACAGGAGCCTTGTAAAGGTCTAGCCTCCTCCAGGCTGTCCCTGCCAGGCCCGAGTACATCCTAGACTGCATCTTTAGTTGTGCCCTGGCAGGTGGCGCAGAACTGTCCCGGGCTGTCACACCCAACAACAGCATGCTCTCTGGTCCTCTCTGCCCTGGCTCAGTCTATTAGAAGGAGGAGAAGAATGGTGAGCCATATGGAGATCTTATTTTTCTTTACTTGAAAAATTCTGGGTGAACTTGCCAAGAGGTACATAACAGATATACCTTATTCTTTGGAACCGATGCATACGATTCCTTAATAACGAAGTACCATGTTTTATTTATCCAATCAATTGACAGTTATACTAAGTTATTTCCAGCTTTTTGCTCTACAAGCAATAATACTGAACACCTTTCCGCAAGTCTTTTTGTGCTTACAAGCAACTATTTCTCCAGAGGGAATAGTAAGAATTGCTGGGCCATAAAGCGTACGTATTTTAAATTTAAGTCAATGTTGGAGAATCGCGATCCTGCGTGGTAGCTCTGTCTTGTGCTTCTGCCAGCTGTCTGGGAGTCCTTACCCAAATCTTCACCAACACTGGAGATTCTAAAACGTTAAATACTGTCATTCTTTTATGACGCAGAATGACACTTCAACATTGTTTTAAGTTTTGGGTTTCCCTCATTACTAGTGAGCTTGGGTGTTTTTCACGTGTTCATTGACCATTCCTACCACTGTCTGTATCCTTTGTCAATTTCTTCTTTTTCTAAAAAAGAAAAAAATATTTTCCATTATCAACTGGTAGGAATTCTTTATGTATTCTGGATACTAATCCTGTCTGTTGTGTAGACTACCGAGAGTTTAGTGCTTGCCTTTTCCCATGTACTGGACATCTTTTTGTTTTTTAATTAATAGACTTTGGTCTTTAGAGCAGTTTTAGGTTTACAGAAAAAGCGAGGGGAACTTACAGAGAGGTCCCCTGTGCCCCCCAGTCGCCACTCCCACAGTTTCCCATATGATTTACATCTGCCATCAGTGTAGGACGTTTATTACAATTGACAACCCAATACTGATCCAGGATTATTAACTAAATTATTAACTAAATTAAACTATTAACTTAGTTTACATTAGGGTTTTCTTTGTGTTGTACAGTCTATGGATTTTGATCAATCTTTGGTGACACGTATCCACCATTACTGTGTCGACTAGTTTCACAGCCTTAAAAATCCCATGTTCCACCTACTCATCCCTCCCTCCCTCCCGCCTTACTGAACTCCTGGCAACCACTGATCTTTTTACTGCCTTCACCGTTTTGCCTTTTCCAGAATGTCATATAGTTGGAATCATATGGTGTGTAGCCTTCTCAGATCGGCTTCTCTCACTTACTAATATACATGTAAGGTCCCCCCCCACGTCTCTTCATGGCTTTTTAGCACCGAATGATGTTCCACTGTCTGGACACATCACACATCACTCACCTGTGGGCCATCTACCTGCTGAAGGACATCTTGGTTCCCTCCAAGTTCTGGTAATTATGATAAAGCTGCTTTTCTCATACATTTTGGTATTTGATATCGTCAAATTTACCAGGCTTTTCTTTTTTGGTTTTCACTTCCTGTGTCTACTTTTAGAAAAGCAGCACCGTCAGGGGACCTGGGGGACTCAATAGGTTAAACATCTGCCTTTGGCTCAAGTCATGATCTTCAGGGGCTGGGATCAAGCTCCACATCTTCAGGCTCCTGGCTCAGTGGGGAGTCTGCTTCTCCCTCTCCCTCTGCCCCTCCCCCTGCTCTTTCTCTCAAATAAATAAAAATCTTAAAAAAAAAAAAGCTTAGAAAAGCAGCACCATAAACACACGGTCTTATATTTTTATATTAATTCACCCAGAATTTATCTTGGTGAATGGTGTTAACTGTTTCTAATGAGTAGCTAATTGTTTTGAATCCTTATAGAATGACCTGTTCTTTCTCCACTGACTTTTTTTTTTAAGATTTTATTTATTTATTTATTTATTTATTTATTTATTTATTTATTTATTTGAAAGAGACAGAGTGAGAGAGGGAGCACGAGCAGGGGGAGGGGGAGAAACAGACTCCCCCTGCCGAGCAGGGAGCCCGACGCAGGACTTGATCCCAGGACTCTGGGATCATGACCTGAGCCAAAGGCAGTCGCTTAACTGACTGAACCACCCAGGTGCCCCTCTCCACTGACTTTAAAAGACACTGATATTCCAACCCCCACATGTATACGAGTCTGTGTCCTAATGTCCCTCTGTTCCTGTGTCAATGCCACAGTTTTAGTCCTTCTAACTCACAGGAGAGTCTGTCAGCTGGGAGGACAAGCCTCCCCTCCTCACTGCCCAGTGCTCATTCCCCCTGGAACTGATGCCCTACCCAGAAGCTTTGTGCCTTTGGTGGGGTCCCGATCCCTTCCTGAGCCCCCTCCCCCGTCCCTTTCTGGGGGAGGGGGCCTTGCTCTCCAAACACTCCACTGTTCTAACTTGTTCAGTTCCTTTTGCATCATGCCAGTCCAGATGCTCTCCGAGTTCTGTGACCTCTGGGTGCCTTGGTTTTCTCATCTATGAAATGGGGATATTAGTAGACATAGGTAATTCTAATGAGCATCTACTAAGGAAGGAGTACTTTCATGAGAACAACTACTCCTTGTTTTAGGGCAGTGGGAACATAACAAAGACTCCTCACTAGACCCAGAAGCCAGAGCCAGCCTGTTGGCAGAATAATTAATTTTCCAAATTGTTAGTTTGAAAAAGCATTGATTTCTCAATCGAATTCCATTTACTCCCAAATACGAAAGGCTGTGCTTTAAGAAAATGACAATTCACTCAAAGATAGGCTGGTGGGAGTCTCTGATTGCATTTTGAAGATTCTCCTTTAAAAACCCGACCCTTGCCCGTGTTTCTGGAAGCACGTCTGTTCTGCAAAGGAGGTCCATGGTAGCATCTGTCATACAAACCCTCCGCAGAAGGAACTGTTTCC